TGAATCGTTGAAAAGGTGAGGCGTTTACGAAATAGCAGCATAGAACACGTTCACTGCATTTCCACTATGAAATGTTCACCAGAGCCAACTTTAATGTAAATATAAGGTCTGTTGAAATCAAGTAAGTAGCATGTGTTTCGGTTAGGAAGGGGTTGAATGTTGGGGTGGTCCTTAAAAGGTGATTAGCCAGACGTCTCTTGAACACGCTCACAGTGTAGGGAATGCACAAGAGACGATGGCAGAGTTTCATCGTTGAACGACTCTTTGATTTACTTTATTTATTCCATTTATATGAATTGGAAAATTTATTCTATTTATTACCGTATAACTAGGCAAAGAGGTTCCGGATGAGATGAAAGCTCAAAAGTGAACCTTAGCTTCAAGCCACCTGCGCGTATGTTGTGTGGGGCGGTTTACGTTTCCAGCCACGTTATTTATCAGGTATAAAACTAGCCGAGGATTGAAGGGTGAATATGCTAAAATAAGTCGTTCCGTCACTCTGTCGATTTATCACAACATTATACAGGCACTTCTAAGCTTAGACTGTGCATGTATCACCCCTCATCTGCGCATGTCTCACATCATTATACGATTACCTAAGGACTAAGGATTCTCGACAGAATCCGAAACGTCAGGAAAATAAAATTCTTGTTCCAGTGATCGCATCTTCTTCTGCCGAACTGCTTCCTGGAACTTGCATTTTTGCCTTTATCGGCTTAGACTGAATTTTGGAACTCAAGTTTGTGGATGGATGTGTGCGTGTGATCAGAAGACAGAAAAAAACGGTACTCACCGAAAATGTTTCACTGTCGTCAACGAAACGCAGATCGAACCGAATGCCTGTGCTGCCGTACTCAACACCGTCACAGGCCTCGTAGACCGCGGCCGCCGTCTCCGCCGAGTCAAACTCGGCAATTGCGTAGAAGTACTTTAGGCGGTTCAGTTGGTAGCGTCGCAGGCGACGACGCTGACTAACCGAGGTCCGCCGCCAGGCCTTTTTCTCGTCTGCGTCTACATCGCCAGGCAATATATCGTCCTCCTCCTCTTCTTCCTCCTTCCTCGATTTGCCGGCTTTCTTGTTTCCGTGTTGTTTTTTCTCTTGTGGTGACTTTGTTGGCTGGTTAACTGATGACTGGTCGTTTTGCATTTTGGTGTCTTCTTTTTCGTCTTCACTGCCTTGGGCTGAACCGGTGGAGGTCTCCCAAATCTCCTTGGGTCCGTGTTCCTCCTCCTCCTTCAGCCGTTTCATACCAAACTCGGAGGGGTAGATCTACAGTAACCAGGACAGAAGGCAGAGTGATAAATTAAGTTTTCCCCCAGCCCCAATTCACATGCTTTGAGGGTAGCATAACCATAGCCATATAGGGTTTCGGGAATGGGAGTATCGATGGGGATGGGTGAAAGGGGGAAGGATTGGGGGGACAAAGATGAAGAGGAAAAGGAGGAT